CCTTCGAAGACTATATCTCGGCCAATTCTTATCCGATTCTTGCGGGGGATACCTTTAACGATTTGCTGATCGATTTCCCATCAATCTGCATTGAAATCTCGACACAAAATATTTTTTAGATTTTTTTTAAATTTTTCCTGGGGAGACCCCTTCACAAAGCGGTATTTTGGAATATGCCCCCTTCGAAGACTATATCTCGGCCAATTCTTATCCGATTCTTGCGGGGGATACCTTTAACGATTTGCTGATCGATTTCCCATCAATCTGCATTGAAATCTCGACACAAAATATTTTTTAGATTTTTTTCAAATTTTTCCTGGGGAGACCCCTTCAGAAAGCGGTATTTTGGAATATGCCCCCTTGGAAGACTTTATCTTGGCCAATTCTTATCCGATTCTTGCGGGGGATACCTTAAACGATTTGCTGATCGATTTCCCATCAATCTGCATTGAAATCTCGACACAAAATATTTTTTAGATTTTTTTCAAATTTTTCCTGGGGAGACCCCTTCAGAAAGCGGTATTTTGGAATATGCCCCCTTCGAAGACTATATCTCGGCCAATTCTTATCCGATTCTTGCGGGGGATACCTTTAACGATTTGCTGATCGATTTCCCATCAATCTGCATTGAAATCTCGACACAAAATATTTTTTAGATTTTTTTCAAATTTTTCCTGGGGAGACCCCTTCAGAAAGCGGTATTTTGGAATATGCCCCCTTGGAAGACTTTATCTTGGCCAATTCTTATCCGATTCTTGCGGGTGATACCTTTAACGATTTGCTGATCGATTTCCCATCAATCTGCATTGAAATCTCGACACAAAATATTTTTTAGATTTTTTTCAAATTTTTCCTGGGGAGACCCCTTCAGAAAGCGGTATTTTGGAATATGCCCCCTTCGAAGACTATATCTCGGCCAATTCTTATCCGATTCTTGCGGGGGATACCTTTAACGATTTGCTGATCGATTTCCCATCAATCTGCATTGAAATCTCGACACAAAATATTTTTTAGATTTTTTTAAATTTTTCCTGGGGAGACCCCTTCACAAAGCGGTATTTTGGAATATGCCCCCTTCGAAGACTATATCTCGGCCAATTCTTATCCGATTCTTGCGGGGGATACCTTTAACGATTTGCTGATCGATTTCCCATCAATCTGCATTGAAATCTCGACACAAAATATTTTTTAGATTTTTTTCAAATTTTTCCTGGGGAGACCCCTTCAGAAAGCGGTATTTTGGAATATGCCCCCTTCGAAGACTATATCTCGGCCAATTCTTATCCGATTCTTGCGGGGGATACCTTTAACGATTTGCTGATCGATTTCCCATCAATCTGCATTGAAATCTCGACACAAAATATTTTTTAGATTTTTTTCAAATTTTTCCTGGGGAGACCCCTTCAGAAAGCGGTATTTTGGAATATGCCCCCTTGGAAGACTTTATCTTGGCCAATTCTTATCCGATTCTTGCGGGTGATACCTTAAACGATTTGCTGATCGATTTCCCATCAATCTGCATTGAAATCTCGACACAAAATATTTTTTAGATTTTTTTCAAATTTTTCCTGGGGAGACCCCTTCAGAAAGCGGTATTTTGGAATATGCCCCCTTGGAAGACTATATCTTGGCCAATTCTTATCCGATTATTGCGGGGGATACCTTTAACGATTTGCTGATCGATTTCCCATCAATCTGCATTGAAATCTCGACACAAAATATTTTTTAGATTTTTTTAAATTTTTCCTGGGGAGACCCCTTCACAAAGCGGTATTTTGGAATATGCCCCCTTCGAAGACTATATCTCGGCCAATTCTTATCCGATTCTTGCGGGGGATACCTTTAACGATTTGCTGATCGATTTCCCATCAATCTGCATTGAAATCTCGACACAAAATATTTTTTAGATTTTTTTCAAATTTTTCCTGGGGAGACCCCTTCAGAAAGCGGTATTTTGGAATATGCCCCCTTGGAAGACTATATCTTGGCCAATTCTTATCCGATTATTGCGGGGGATACCTTTAACGATTTGCTGATCGATTTCCCATCAATCTGCATTGAAATCTCGACACAAAATATTTTTTAGATTTTTTTTAAATTTTTCCTGGGGAGACCCCTTCACAAAGCGGTATTTTGGAATATGCCCCCTTCGAAGACTATATCTCGGCCAATTCTTATCCGATTCTTGCGGGGGATAACTTTAACGATTTGTTGATTGATTTCCCTTTAACTTCTGGGAATACAATATTTTTTGTCAAACATTTTTTGCTTTAAAAGTTAAGCAATTTTTTGATATAAAATGACACCTACAAATTCAACAGCGTCATCTGTTGACAATTTCCTTTGTATTTTTTGGCTAAGAGATGTCGCCACGGTCAAAAATTATAACAATGGAGGGCGCCAAAATACCCTTATTGCTTCTGTTTATATCCGTGTGAGGGCGTTTATAGGAAGCTACATTGTTTCTCCCAAGACTGCAACCGTTATTATCTACACACATATCTGCTATTTAATTTGAATTAGAAAGAGATATAAATAGGTAGATATATGAATAAGGGGGATGACCTGAATCGATCTAAGTTTCAGATAAAAAAAAAAAAAATTTTTTTAAATGTAATCCTCAATTTATTAACAGATCCCCAATTACAAAAAAAATACAACACAAATATTACAACAAAAATAAAAGCAAAAAAAATACAAAAAATAAAAAATCGGAAATATATTTTCTGATTTTCAGGCTTGCTTAAGTGCAACCTTTGAGAATCGAGGAGGAGGGCGCTATTTTTAAAATAAATTATTTTTTTATTTTATTAAATTTCTACTAAAATGAAAACATTTTAGGCAATGTAATAGGCAAAAACGGTTAATTCTTGTCGTCATTGCTATTTGACTTCCTGTTGCCCTTAAAATTAGGCAACGGAAATATGAGAAAGTGGCATTTTGAGAATATGCCCCCCGAAAGGCTATATCTCGGCCAATTCTTAGCCGATTCTTGCGGGGTAAAACATACACTCCTAGGGGGACTCTCCAGGATGCGTGTGTCCCCATTCGGATTTGGTATTCAGCCAAAAAATAATCCTTATTTCAAGAAAACATCCTGGACAAGTGGGTTCAAAAAAGACCCAAGAAAGTTAATCAGACAATTATGAAATAAAGTTATCCACCCTAGGGGATTATAATTAGACCAGATTATAAAATATTGTTGGGATAAATATTAGCAAATAGTTAAATTTAATTTTTATTTTGCATTTATTATTTCGTTTCTTACAATTGCAATTTCGATTCGTTACATTTTGAATGCGTTGCTTTAAAACTTGTATTTTTGTTTTGTATTTTGTTTTTAATTGGTTTTTTTTAGGATCTCTGTTTCGTGTTTAAAAAATGAGAAGTTAACAATCCTTAAAATGAACTCTATTTGCTTGACTTAAAACGTGTTTTTGTTGTTACTGTTAACGAAGTTACTATTAAACATTTATTGTTGCTTGTTTTTATTGCTGCTGTGCTTACTGCACTTTGCCTCATTGATTTTATTTTAATTTTTATTTTATTTTTAGTGTTTTTTTGTTTTTCAATTGCCAAGAGTGTTTTTTTTTAATTCAAAATCGAAAGGTACAATTTGTGATTAATATTTAGGCATTGATTCAAAGACAATTGCTTTTCCTTTCCCCCAGTTTTAGTTGTGGGTTTAGATTAGTTAATCCATACATGTTAATATTATTTATATATTTACTTGTAAATATCAGTATTTTTTTTTTGTTATTAAACTTGGCAACCTAAATTCGTTTTGCACCAGCCGTTCTTTATGTTTTTTGTTTTCAGAAAAATAATCAAAGATTTGAAATTGAAAGATGAGAGTGTGTTTTAATATTCTGCTCTTATGTTTTGATTAAAATTTGATTCCTAAACAATTTAACAATGCCTAACAATAAACTTAATAATAGATAAAAGTTTTGACCGATTTTCGATTTTTGAAACGTCTCACAGCTACACTTAACAACACAATAATATATAATCATAATTCAAAAACGTTTTTTTTGGAACAATTTAAAATTGTGAATTCGAAACAAAGTCGAAGGCATAGAGATCTGTATCTTGTGTTTAAAACCGATGTGGGGGGGAGGGGGAGGGTTTATAATATAAACTTTATATAGAGAATAGATTATAACAAACTTGGTTTCGTTATTTAGCTTTGAATAGAGTGAGATAGAGAGATACATAGAGGGAGAGACAGGTATGATGATGCGTTCTGCAGTTCATTTTCTAGATTCATTTTTGTAATTGATGCATTATTTTTTTTTTCAACTTTTCCAATCAATATTGTATATGTATTTGAGCTTTAACAATTGTCAATGGTTTCTTGTTCGGCTTAGTACTCCTCCTCATAGATTATATAAACAAATTCAACATTATATGCTCGTTTTACCTTTGAATTTCGTTTTCGTTTTCGATATCGATTTCGATTCTGCTAGCTGCAAATACTTGTTTTTTATTATTATTTAGTTTATTCTTTTAAGATTGCAATTAACCCTTTCGTTCTTGGATGTATATTTTCGTTATTAGGTGTATAATTAGGCTATAAATATTCAAGTCAAGTCCATCCAACTGACTTGCTTCCTTTAGGCTTTACTCTTACTTGGGTTTTACATATCTCAAAATTGTTGAATTCCAAATAATTTAATTAATTTAATAACTACAAAAAATTTAAAAGTGAGGCTCAGATCATCCTAGTTTCTCGCTTAAAATGTCCCTGACTAAACTAGTCTAAATTAGTGAAATGATCTTGATCTATATAGACCTACGGGTCGATAAATGATCGTAAGACTATACTGGCTACAGCTCCCCCTTGTCTACAGTCCTACCTCCTATCGTTCCATGCAACCTAGTACCTTCTTACAGACTATGTTCATAAGATATATGGTATATATATATATATATGTATGTATATATATATGTTAGTGTCCCTGGGAGGAGGGGCTAGCCAAGACTGACACTGAGAGACTGAGAGGCTGAACAAATGCATAACAATTCGCTGATCAAAGTTGAAGTTAAGACTTTACGGTTGGCTCGCTTTTCCGGCTCGCCTCACTAGCATTACGCTTTATAATTTTGATCATCCCGGTCTGACGGGATCTGGATTTTTGGTTTGATTTCTGGTTTGGATTCGGCTCTGGTTGGCTCTGGTTGGCTTAGGCCTTGAACAGCTGCGGGAACTCGTTGGCTATCTCCCGGACCAGCTGCTGGTCGGAGGCACTGCACTCCGTCTCCTCGCAGAAGATGCGCGTGAAGATCTTCATGAGGTCGTGCTTGCGATGCTGATGCTCCTGGTAGTTGGTGTTCCGCAGAATGCGCCGGCACAGCTCCAGGTAGCAGGGTCGCGTCTGAAAAAGGAACATATCACTTGTGTGCCTTCTAGATGGCCTCTTGTCCTCGATACCTACCGTACTGCCGGCATCCAAGTCGGACAACTGCCGCACCACAATATCGATCAGGACCTTGATGTCGTTCGTGTAGAACATTCCCGCCGTATCCGAATGACTGAAAATGTCGATGAACATGCGGAGCACCGTGTTCATGTGCTCGTTGGGATGCTTCAGCAGGCGTGTGGGGTCATCTGGGAGATCCAAAATCAAACCATTAGCTGAATAATTCATAATCCAATTCACTTAGCAGATGGACTCACCCTCACGGTTGAGCAGGAGCAGTAGTTTCTCGGTGAAGACCTTGGCGGAGGGCAGGTTCTGCATCGCCTCGATGATGACGTTGAATGTGTGCTCGCTGAACTGCTGGTTGAAGGCCAGTATCAGGGCAATGACCATGTCCACCAGCAGCTCCGGGTTGTTGCCTTCCACGATTTCCAGCAGGAAGCTGGCAAAGTGCACGCCCAAGTAGTCTAAGACAAGGATTCATTAGACATCTTCTAGTCATCTAATCCTCATAGACTCACCTTGATGGTTGACTGGCATGGGCTGGCCGAGCGAGAATATAATGGTCAGCATCTTGACAAGCTGCTTGAAGCGATCCAGGTTGGAGAAGTGGGTCTTCATGTCCTCAACCTGGAGCAGGAGAAGGATATGATTAGTGTCCAGTCCAAGGATATGATAGTAATGATAATTACAATTTCCAGAGGCAGCACTGAGGTCAGCAGAATGTCCACGATGATGTAGTCCAGATGACAGGCGGCAGTGAAGGTCTTCAGCAGCAGCTTCTTGATGGACCAGCGCGTCTCCATCTGGTAGTATTGGACCAGGTTGATGAACATCTGGTACTGGTCGCAGGACATCTCGTAGCAGCTTATATTCTCATCAGCATTGTTCTAAAAAAAGGCAAGGATATATCAACCTCCCAGAGGATCCTCCCAGAACACTCACCAGAATCTCGACCAGCTCTTCTAGGAACTGGATGATGTCCTCCTCGTCTTCGTAGAGCATCCAGGTGCGCTGCTCCGTATCGTTCTTGCAGTCGGCCAGCTGGGCGAAGAGGTACTGCAGCCGTTTGGCATCGTGCGTGATGCCGAGCAGCTCCTTGGGCGTGGCCACCTTGCCGGTGACGTGAACCGCCACCGCCTCCAAGTAGGGATTGATGGCGCCATTGTATAGCTGCTCCAGGCTGGTCAGCACCACGCGCAATGCCTCGCAGGAGAGGTCGAAGCTGAGGTTCGTGTTCCGCCGCAGGGCGTCAACGATCTGATACACATCCGAGGACTCCACCTTCAGCTGCCCACCTCCCGCTGCTCCGGCGGCACCCTCCTCGCCGCTCCGGCCGCCCAGACTCCGTTGCCGCGGCATCGACGAACTCTCGATGCTGTCTAGCGCCTGGCTGTTCTCCGCACTGTCTCCGTTCGCCTGGCAGGCGTCACTAACGTCTTCCGACTTGTCCGCCGCCGCCTCGTCCGGCTGCAGGTCGTTGCCCAGGCCACCGTTACTGCCCCTCCGGTTGCCACTGCCGTTCCCGATACTGCCGCTCCGCAGGGCCGAGGCCGAGGCGGACGCGGACACCGAGGCGGAGACAGAGGCAGTACTTCCATTCTGCGCCTTGTGCTGGCTCGTGCTCGGCTGGCTGGTCTCCTTGTAAGTGGTCACCACGTCCTCACTGGTCGTGGTGGTGGTTGTGGTCGTTTCCGAGGGCTCCGACGTGATGCTGTTGTCCTGGGCCACATCGGCGTTGGATTTGCTTGCTGCCGGGACCGCTGGCGGCGGAGCGGGGAGCGGCTGTTGCTGCTGAGGCGTCTGAATGGTGCAGCTGCCGGATACGGAGCTGCTGGCCTGGAACTGGATGCTGCCGGTGCTGGGCGACTCCACCATGCCCACCGCCGGACTGGACATGCTCTTCTTGCTCATATCGAGGCGTTGGGAGCCGCCGCTGCTTTGCGGCGGGGGGCTGTGCTGGCGGCGCTGGGAATGTGATTGCTGGTGGGGATTGGGATGGGGATGCGAGTGCCGGTGGCTGCCCTTGTCGCTGTAGCTGTGCGAGTAGGACAGCGAGGAGTCGCCGTCGCGTTCAGAGCTCTCCTGCAAATGGGAAAATGTCTAGAGGATTGCTGTTTCTGGAGAGGATTATGGATGGAATACCGCATATAGCCGCTCCATGGTGTGCTTCTTCTCGCGCAGTCTGTCCAACAGCTCGTCCTTGGACATGATGCCATTGATCTCGTGCTCCGTGCACTTCTCCAGCGACTCAATGGAGGAGTTGAGGAAACTGATGAGGAAGTCGTGCTCCACCTGGAGGCAGAAAGCGGTTATTGATGGGCCATCCAGATACGCCATGCTACTCACCTTAATCTTCATTACGTAATTCGAGGGCACAAACCCGATGTTGCCCTTCATGCTGACCACCTGCCACCAATTGCGCTGGCGGGCGGAGGTCTGGTAGAGGATGAAGTACTCGCCCTCATCGAAGCTGATGGTCTTCGGGTAGACCGCCTGGAAGTCGTACAGTGCCTTGAGCATTTCGATGCCGTTGTCCGAGCCGTTGTTTCCAATTTCCGTGCACTGGCCGCCACTGGCTTTTAGTCCTGTCCCGGGTCCTGGTCCTATTCCTGCTCCAGAACCGTTACTTCCTGCAGGCGATGTGGGAGCTGCTGCAAGGATATGATGAAAATATTAATTATAAGGATAACTAGGATGGTTAGGATTATAATTTTTGGGCTGAGGGCGTCGGCACTCACACACACACACACACTAACACACACAGAGACAGAGACGTGGAAAATGGGAAAATCGGAAAATGCAGCAGCAAGTAAAGTTCACTGCCGAGGGCCAAATAGCAGACTGCCGACGGTTATCCTTTTCCTTTACCATTTATTTATTTATTTTTTGTTCTTTTACTTGAGGGGGTCCTTTTGCATCAAACCCCACACACACACACACACACACACACACTGCCCACTGCACACACTGCAGGACTCTTCTGTGCACTCTCGGCATACACCAACACTCCCGCAGGACAACAGCAATGCCAAGAGGCAGGTGGAATTTTATAAGAGCGCTCCCCCACACAGGAAGAGGAAAATGCAATTTTCATATTTTCATGCCATCGCACCGCCCAGCACCGCCTCGCCGTGCCTTCCTTTTCTTACATTTCCGTTCCTTTTTCTATTTCTGTTTCGGTTCCTGTCTGTGCTTGCTCTGGTTTCTGGTTTCTGGTTTCTGCTTTTTGGTCCTGCAACAACGCCTTGCGCTTTTGATCCTTTTCAGCTTACATTGTTTTCCTCGCCAACTCACACCCTCACACCCACACATACATGGAGAGAGGCACGTGCCTCTGTGCAGGCTTCTGCGCTCTTCGCTTTCCTTCTTATTATCCTTGTTGTTGTTTTTGTTGTTGCTGCTCACGGACAAAATCTCAACACGGAAAAATCCGTTTCAAAACACTCGCCCCCACTGCCCCGCCCACTCTCTCTCTCTCTCTCGCTGAGTGGCACTATCTTTCCATCTTTTTCCCGCTCTCCACGCGCGCGCGTCCTTATGGGGACACTGGTTCTCTCCCGCTCTAAAGCTGAGCTTTTTTCTTAGGCCTGGAACTAGTTCATGGTTGGACCACTTAATAACGGTTTAAATGCTTAAATATTTAATCTTTTAATGGTAATAGAGAGGAGAAATTGGAATTATTGGTTGGTTTTTGATAAAATATGTTTTCTTTTTTTATTTATATAAGTTTTGGAATAATTTTTTATTTTAAATGTTTTAAAAATGATTGAAGTCAAATAATAATAAAATAAAGTATAGGGATATGTTATTATAAAAAATATTAAGAATTTGTTAGCTTTAAGCAATTTAAATAATAAAAAATGTTTAAAACTACATTTTTATTAAAAATTCTTGCAATTTTCTTTAAAAATTTCTTAGAATCATTAAAAGAACTAGTTCTTTGCAGATCTTTTTAGAAATTAGAAACCTTTTAACAATTTCATTGTATTTATAATTAAAATTAAGAACTAAAAATACATAAAATATCAAAAAAAACTTAACAAAAAAATAGAAACTAATAATTTGTGTGTATCTCAAGGATCTGTCAACTGGAATTCATAATTTCTGAAGCATTCTTGGCCAAATTCCAAGAGCATGTGGGTATTGTCTTTGGTTTTTATCCTTTTCCTCCGTGTCACAGATTCCGGAACTTGTCGAAGCACCTGCTGGACTCTCACCCACACATCCACGCCCACTTCCGCCGCCCATCACGCACACACACACACACACACAGTCTAAACATACTAATCGCATACAAATGTATGCAAATGCGACAAAAGGACACAAACAAGAGCCCTAAAGGACATAAAAGTAAAGAAAAAGAAAGAAAGCCCACTTACCCATCTTTTAAGGCGCACCTTTTACTGAAATTGTGTTTGTCAGTTTTCGATGTTGTTGTTGTTGTTGTTGTCTATCCTTCGCCTACTCCGTTGAACCCCTGCTCCTTCCGCTGCCGTCCAAGGACGTTTGCATATATTGCAAGTCAAGGAAGTTCTCGTCCTTCCGATTCCAAATTCCCCTATTCTTGTTGTTGTTGTTGTTTGGGTTGATGGGCGTGTTTGCTTAGTTGCGCTTTGTGCTCGATTTCCTGTTTCCTTTTGTGTCCTTTTTCCACTACAACTACTAACTGGCAGGACTTGCTGCGTTCAGTGGCATCATTTGTTGTTGTCCGGTCGGCAGCTGCACCCGAATGTGACTCGCCACCCCGTAAATTCACTTGATTAATTCCGATGTGCGATGTTCTGCTCGGCAGATGCACTTGTTTTTATGTTTTTCTTTTTTTTTTTGTCTCTGGTGGGGTGGTGGGTGGTGGTGGTAGGGGAAGTTAAGGAGGAGCCTTCGTGTATCTCTCTCTCGGCAGGCACACACACACACACACACCAAAGGATGAACCGGAAGAGTTGGGTGGACCAAAGTTACTTAAAGCAACGACAAATTATCATTTACACCGCAGCCTCCACCCTAATTAACTGTAAAGCAAACACAAACACACACACACTTGGGGAAGAGTGTTAGCGGGGAGCGGCCTAACGGTAACACTGGAGTTTGTTATCCTTTTTAAGGACTGGCAGTATTCGTCTTTTTAATTTTAACAAAAAATTTATAAAAACCAATCACTTAATAATCACATAAGAACTTATAAGAACTATCCCCATAGCAGAATTTTATTTATCAACAAACACGCTTGCTTATCCAATCACTTTTGTTTTTTTTTCCTTCATTTTTTTATTGTTTTTCACTTTTTTTTGTTGTTGCTCAGATTCCACTAGAGATGGCACCGGCCTTGCTCCCCATTTATCGAAACCCACACCTCCACAATCGATATCTTTGCGATAGTCCAACGGTTCTTGGCGCCAAATTTAAATTGCAAAAGTTTGGTGGTTTTTTTTTTTGCAAAACAATTTTTATTTTTTTTTTTTTATTATTTTCTTGCATTGAATATTAGTTTCATTTTTTTTTTTTTGGTGTGGGTATAGTACATACAGAGTGGTTCTATGGGGTTTTCGGTTGGGGACAAGCAAATAAATGGATCTGTATGTTGTTTTCGTTAAAAATGTTTAAAAAAAATGTAAATTAAATGCCGCACACATCTTACAAATTGGCTAGCAAATTTTGGTATAACTCTTTGCCTGTGGCACACATAGTTTTTACACACGCGAACATAGTATATATAGTATATATATATATGTGGTTATATCTGACTACCTTCCGAGCACTTCTGGCAATTCGCAATTTCCTATTTTAGTCTAGACTAACATTCCTAGGGGGGATTGATAACGGTATATATATATAAGTACAGGGTTTCGTTACAGAAGGCATTTTATCAAAGTTCCCTCGATCAATCGGGGGATGTATATATATGTATATATAGTGTGTATATAGGGAATACATTTCAATTAGTTAAGATTCAACAATTTTTTTATCCGTTTATTTGCTTGCTTGTGGTCACAATAGTTGCATAAATGGGTAAACCATAATAATTATATCATAATGGTGAAAACAATCACATACACAATAAATTATAATTGCAAAAGTTCGTTCATCTCAGTAGTGTTTAGATTTTTCTTTTTGCTTAGTTATAATATATCTATTTTGTTTTTAATAACATCAGGCCACTTTTTAGACATTTTTTGTTGCGTGGTTGTGTTTTACATACATATATCTATTTAAAAAAAAAAAATAATAATAATAATAAAGTTGTGTTTTACTTGAAATTTTTATAAGAATAATCATAATAAATATATATATATATATGTAATTAAACGAAAACAAAACAAGAGCCGGCTCTCAAGAGGACCTCCTCCTGCTCCCATTATCATTTTTTTTATTTTTTTTTAGCTATGTATTTTAGGTGTTGTGGAACGGCACTTGGTTGAGATTTATCTTGGTTTTGTAGTCGGTTGGGTATGGTTAGTAATATATTGTAATTTTCCACTTCTAACTATTGCAATCGGTTCGATTTTAGGACCTTGTGGCGGCAGAGAAGCCTCGTTTCCTTGATGCCCTATATGCCCTATATCTGGTGGGCTGGCAGTCCGATTATCCTCTCCGCCTCCACGTGCTACCGTCTATTTTTTTTTTGTAGTTTTTTTTTTTTTTTTCAGCCGCAAAACATTTGTCCACAATTAGGATTCCGGTGCACACACACACTAATTGTTATTCTTCGTTTAAATTATGCTATAAAAATAATATTGATAAATGTTGCTGCTTCTTCGCTCTGCACTTCCGGTTGCAATTTCGCTTCCGGTTTTGGTCCACTCTGCTCAGCGCCCAGCTATGCCTCGCCTTGCATCGCATCATGTTACGCTGTTACATACATCACCATCATATCATCATAACATCTCAGGGACCCACAAAACCCGAATCACATTCGCCACCGGCCGACGCGGGCCAGCTGCGTTGGACGCGTCCGTAGCGCGCTCCTCAATCATTTCTCCTCGCAGCACCCGTTCTTGGCCAGCTGCTTCTGCAGTGCCGGCGGAATGAACTCTTTCGTCTTCGTCTTGGAATGATAGCCCTGGCCGAGCAGTGCCGGCTCCACGTGCTTGCCCTCCTGGATGCTCTGGATGCGCTTCAGCAGATCATAGTTGATGCTCTCGCTGACCACCGAGTCTTGCCTGCAAGAGAGAGAGATGGAGAAGATTAGAGCACGTGAGTCTAGACTCAACCATGAGGGTAACTTACTTGTAATCCGGATGACTGAGCACCTGCTCACGCATCCAGGTGGCCGTGGTGATCAGCTCGCCGGCGGCACGCTTCTGGATGAAGCGCAGATACTGCTCGATGGTGCAGTGGGTGTCGGTGTCCACCTCCATGGACTGCAGATAGCTGCGGATCAGCGGCACCAGACCCGGAAATACATTGGGCTGTGGAACAGATTAGCATAAGGATTAGTGCTCCAAGGACTCAAGTCCAAAGGGGACTCACCTTTCCGTTGAAGATCTCGTTGATGGAGAGGAGCTGGAAGAGCTCGTTCTCCTCGTCATCGGTGTCGGTGTGATCGCTGTCGGTGCCATTGGAGAGGCCATTAGTGGAGCCGTTGGTGGTGCCATTGGTCTTGCTAGTGCCATTGGTGGCGGCGTGTCCGTTCAGCTTGGGACCAGTGCCATTGGTGAGCGGCTCATCGATGTCGCCGTTCTCGCTGCCACTTCCGTTGGCCAGCCCGTTGCCGTTTCCGTTCTCCAACACACCAGCTCCTCCTCCGTTCAAAGTGGCCTTGCCATTGGCCTGAGCCTGAGCCTCGGCCTGAGCCCGAGCATTGGCCTTGGCGGCGCGCTGCTCGGTGGTCTTGGAGGACTTGCGGAACCAGAACTTCTCCTTGCGGCAGGCATCGCGCTTCTGGGCCGTCTGCATGTTCTCATCCACCTTGCTGATCGGTGTGAGGAAGTTCAGCTGGTACGAGAGGATGACGCGAGTCAGGAGCACCACAAAGCAGACGATGGCCGCGTTCTCAAAGTCACTGATCTGGGCCTCGCAGGGCCGGAACTCGACCCGCCAGCCGATGGAGCTGTTGGGCGGCGGTGGCTTGAAGCGCATGGTCTGCCAGTTGGTCGACTGGATGTTCTCGAAGTGGTCCGTGTCCTCGTTGTCGTTCTGGTTGACCTTCTCGCTGAACAGCGACACCGTGTCGCGAATGAACAGATGGGCCACGTGCTGGGCCAGCAGATGGTCGATTCCGCCGTCGATGAGTCGCTGGTAGACGGCATCGTCGTAGGTCAGCGGCACGTCATTGTACTTGGCCCCCTCCGGCGAGAGGTAGGAGTCGATGGAGTCGTAACGCGACTTGGCGATACGGAACTTCTGGTTCTTCAACGGAGCCAGGCCGCGCTCCTCCTCCGTGCGGCAGTCCACCGAGGAGCTGATCACGTTCCAGCGGCAGTCCGATTCGGTCAGGTAGCCGCGGTAGATGGGCGAGGCGGCCGTCAGGGCCAGCATGATGGGGCACAGCGGGGCCAGCTGGTCGTAGAGGCGACGCGCCTCCGTGATGTTGCAGGCCTGGAAGGTCAGCTGCAGGCAGCAGCAGCCCATGCCGAAGCCCATGGCGTCCAGCAAAACGACGTCCGGCTCTCCTGGCGGGGCTCCCTCCACGGGCAGCTTGGTCTTCACATCCTTGAAGACTGCGTGGAGAAGGATAAGGATAAGTTAAGGATTCGGATTCGGATCAGTATTCCGTCCAAGACTGGCACTCACCCTTTAGCTTGATGGACACCTTCTCGCCACGACGCTTGCGAATGTTACGGGTGAGGGTCTTGAAGCGGGGATGACCCGGAAAGATGGCCTCGTCCGGGAAGTAGAGGGACCTGGCCGAGCTGAGCGGATCCTCGGGGCGGGGCTGGGCCAGCGGATAGGTGAAATTGGGGGCACCCAGGCGCGGGAAGTTGGTGATGGACATGACGCACTCGTCGCTGCCCAGCAGCTCGGTGACCTCCTCGCGGCGGTAGCGCATGTTGGCCTCCACCAGGTTGAAGTGGGCCATCAGGCCGCCGAAGGGCTTGCCGGGCGTGCCCTCGATCATGTAGGCACCGTACTCGGGACGCCACAGGGACTTGACGCCCTTGGGATCGGCCTGCTCCTTCTCGTTGAGCTCGGCCAGTAGGTCCTGGGCGCGCAGTGCCACACGGGCCACCTTCTGCTCATCGTCGAACTTGACGATGATGTACTCCACCTCGTCGCCCCACTTGAGGATGTCGCCCTGGCGATCCTTCAGTCTGTGGTAGAGGTTGATGAACTGATTGACTCCGTGCTCGCGTACGTGATCCGCCAGCGCCTTGGTCTCCTCCCAGGAAAGTGGACTGCCCTCGCTCAGTAGACCCATTTCTGCTGTGTGTTTCTGGCGAAGATCAACGGCAATCGGAAATGAAATAAAAGACAGGAAGTATATTAATTGGAGGCCGATTATCAGGAGGAGGTGGTCGGCTAATGTTTCAACACTCTTAAATTTGAATTTTGAATTATCTTCTGAACATCTCGCATCTAAATCGTAAATGGATCTGTATCTGTATCGGATTCTGCCTTCCGTCCCCTGACCTGACCCGACTTGGTCTGTTCGAATCCAAGTCTAGTTTTCTGATGACGTCTTAGATGGAATACCCGGGCTGCTAAGACTACTGCGCCATAACTCAAGGAATACACTCACGGTGGGCATAATAGGATCTGAATACAGATTTATATAAGTCCATCTAGGTACTATCTTATCTAAATAATAGGACATAAATATATAAACCTTTCGTATCATAAAGATATAACATATATCCCTATAAAAAAAGCATGCTTTTTAGGACTTTGCTTTTATGACTAACAGGCCCAGTTTCTATGGGAAAACCCCCAAGACAAAAATAGTAGCCTTAAGAATGATAATTAAGATAATTATCTAGCATTTTATAACAGGATTTAGAAATAAAATAATAAAATTATTAATTTTTTAAGAGAAAAGTTCAAAAAAGCATTTTTCATTTAAAAAAAGCATGCTTTTTGTCACTTTTTGGGTCTATAGGTCCAATTTTAATGGAAAAACACTCAAAAAGATACTAATATTAGTCTAAAGAATAATTATCTAACATTTTATAGAAAGGTTTTGAAATAAAATATTGAACTAATTCATTTTTAAGTTAAAAGGTTGAAAAACCTTATTTCAAGATAAAAAGCATGCTTTTTCTGACTTTATGAGGGAACTAATTTTTATCCAAGAGATATAATAGTAACTTCTGATTAGCTACCAATTATAATAATTAAAATCATATCATTAAATAATAAATCATTAATAGATTTAAAAAAAAAAGCGCAAATCTCTTATAGAAAAAAGCATGCTTTTCCCGACTTTATCTCAGAGGCTATTTTGTTGGGGAAAACCACCATGATGGAAATAATAGTCTTTAGAATGATAAGCTAGCCTTTTATATGTGTATATGTTTATTTAAAATAAACAAAAGATTATACTAAGCAATCTTATTCCATTAAAAAAGCATGCTTTTATAAAACTTCCAAGGCTATTAGAGCCAATTTATGAAGGAAAACCCCACAGGGTTATAGCAGTATCTCACGATATGATTATCTTTTAATTTAGAAGAGTTTTTTTGAGAATAGATGAAAAAGCATGCTTTTTTGGGCTTTATCTCTAAGACTAATAGATATCATTACTAAAAGAAAAGACCAGGGCCATATTAATATCTCAAGACATGATTATCTGCCACTTTTTAGGGGTTTAATGATTAAATCCTCAATGAATGTACTTTATACAAAAAAATATCGAAAACCCTTTTGAAAAAAGCATGCTTTTTGGAAATTTTATGAGTGGGACTAAAGACGTAATTTCTAGGGGAAACCACCTCGAAGCTGAAATAATATACTATCTCTAGACATGCTTATCTAGCAATTTAGAAGAGGTTTAAAGATTAAATAATAAATGAATAGAAGCTTTAATGGATATAAAATCTTTTTAGAAGAAGCATTCTTTTTGGGAATTTGTCTCCACTATTTACGAAGGGAAAAACCTCTTAAACCTCTCCAATGTTATCTGAAAAATGATTAGCTATCACTTTTAAAGGGTTGTCTGATGAAATCCTCAATGAATATAGTTTCTAAATGTAAAATCAAAAACCCTTTTTGAAAAAAGCATGTTTTTAGTAGTAGTTTCTGGTTTAGAAGGGAAAACCCTGCAATCTATAATTAAAAATGAAAACAAAACCCTCTAGAAATAATTATACATTTATGACTGGCAGTGTAGAGTATAGTTACCCTGAAAGTCATTCAATTCCTGATATTCATTCTATACACAGTGTTTCCGACATTGCATAATTCCACAATCGACAAAAAAACAAAAAAAAAAGCAGAAAATGCAATCGATGCAATTGCCATTTTCAGTTTGCAATTTGCAGTTGGCTGTTGGCAGTTTGCAATTTGCATTTCCACGAAATTGCATAAACAATTAAATTAAGCAAAGAAGGAATTTAAACAAGTTGATAAATTAGAAAAAAGTATGCGACGAAATCGAGATGCCCTCACATTGAAAATCTTAAAACAAAAATATAAAAAACTCCAATCATAAATAAAGGTTTATGTTTTTGATTTATGATTTTAAAAATATTTAGAAATCCCTGTTGGGTTAGGTCGGGATTCAATTTCAAAATTATTTGAAAAAAAGCATGCTTTTGTGTTCCGAAACTTGAGAGTCAAAGCCTCCGCAGTCAATGCCCTTACCCTTCCCCAAAAATCAATTAATCAGCAGAACACACTGTACAGGTGGCTTGGGTTAAGGGGAAAGGTATACGACATATATGTAGTACTGAGTGCATTTGTTCGATTGTTCCCCTCGGTTCCTTGGACTTGACACTCGCACTCGCACTCACAATTTACAACATTTGACTCAATTAATTGATAAGCGGCAACTAGTAATCAAATAATTGATAAGATGCCTTCTCTCTTTCTGTTTCTGTTTTTTTGGGGTATAATTCCACACACATGTGTGTCCGATTCCGATCCGAAAGTAAATAAATACAAATATTTTATACATTATATATATATGTATATATTTAGTAGCCGTGCGACAGGTTGCCGTGCGCCACTCGAGTCTGATTGAATCATATTTTGGAGAGGTAGGTGCTATGGGTGCTACGATTCGATTGCTGCGCAGATTTACGACCCGACACTCTAGGGTCCCCGAAAAAAAAATAACACTTCAAATAGAGGTGGTTATTCAGAGCTACAATTTCCCAAATAAAAAACAAAAACAAAAAAAAAAATCAAAATAAAGCAACCAAGAGGAGCCATGGCCTGTAATTTTGGACCAAAAAACCAAGCGAATTATATTGGAATGTGGATTCGGGTTCTCAAGGTGCTGCTTGTGCAAGATATCAGGTTGACAGGTTGGCCAATTGGAAATCTAATCCCATTCCATACTGTTCTGATATATGTACTTATATATATCGAATCGCAGGTTCTATTTTAGGGGGGTTCAATGAACCAAAGTCGGGCCTGTTCTTGAAGTCGAAAGAACCCCTAAAAGGGGGTAAGGTAAGGGATAAGGTAATAATGTTTTACTAAATAAAAAAATTCAAAAAACTATTAAGAAAGTATGAGTAACTATAAGAAACTACTATAATAATAGATATAATATAATCCTATATTACAACTATATTAATATAGTATTAATATAGTATTATAGTAACTATATTAATATAGTATTATATTATATTACTATTACTATTAAAAATATATTAAGTTAATTTTAATAAATAATATGATATAAAGTTTCCTTTTTTGAAGCAAGTGTTTTTTTTAATAGCTTTGGAAGTGTATTTTTAATACATTTTTAAACAAAATTTAATAAAAATTATGTCTTAAACTTTAAGGAATGTTAAAGTCTCAAAAAGAAATTCGTATAATGATTTTTTAAAAATTCGTAGCTAAAGATATTTGTCTTTATCTTTAAAAACTTTATAATAAAACTTTATCATTTAAGTTTTCAAGTTTTTAAAGTGAATAAGGCCTTTGATGTAATATATCTGTGTATTTCACAATTATTGAATTATTATCAAGAAAACTTGATTTAGTTCAAGTTTTAAGTACTAAGTTTGAATTAAAAAAGTATTTAAATTTTTTCATAATTTTTAAATGAATATCCGAACCATAATCATTAAAAAACAACTGTTAGTTTTAAGAACTACCAAAAACCAAAGACCTTTACACTACAAAAAAATTTAACTTCATCCTCAAAATAATTTTTAGTTTTAATTTAAAAAACTTGTATATAACTTCATTTTAAAAATCACACTTGTAAAAAAAAATAGAGCACTGTTATTGGTATTCGAGGATGTAGTACCTTTTTATTTCGAGTGTATTGCACTAGTGATGTCAAACACGGACCGCTTTTCACTTCCGATCCGGATCAGGGCACTACTTGGCTTAGTATTTGGTTTGAAAATGAATGGGTGGGTGGTTGGGTGGGTGGTAAGTTGCCACAGCTGGCTGCTTTTTGGTCGCTCCACGGCCGAACCCCGACTGAATTTATACTCGGCCAGACTCCAGCTTATGACGGGCCAGGCCTCAGCTGGCGTTGCTGCCGACAGAGCAGCAGCAGCAGCAGCGGCAGCGACGACGACGGCGGCAGCCACGAGGAGTCCAACTCGGAGTCATGAATCCATCAATGGAAATGGATAGGAATCGGATCAGCAAAGAGTCAGGGCAGGGACTTTTAGCTTGGGTCTCTCTATATATATATATATAGTCCGTATCTCAATACGATCGGTCGTAAATGGAGGAGCACGGGACGTACTCGAAACCGATTCAAGTGCCATTATAATTATTTGCCCTCTAATTTATTGTATTCCATCAAAGAATAAAGAATTTTTTCGCGAATCTTTTTTGGTAATCTCTCGAGTGTAGGTTGCTGTTCAGCAAAGGGTTTATATTATATATCATATATATATATATATATTATAGCATATTTATAGATCGGTTTTGGTGATATTTTGATTTATCACCTATAGCCATAACTATAAAGATTGCGGGATCGGAAGGAGGAGGAGGAGGAGGCCAGTACCTGTCCACAAAATACTCGACGCGACATCTTTGAATTGTAAATAACTGCCAATCAAGTTTTTGTAGCTTTTTTGGGAGAGGAAAGGCATAGATTTCATTTCGTATTGCCCCCAGTATATCATTCAATCAGAATCGATTCGATTCGATTCTAAATCCGTACATGATTCAATGATTGAAAGCTCCGTTCGTCCGGTGGCAGTCTCGGATCGGATCATTTTCACGGGAAACTTTGGCCGGAAAGCAAGTACCAGTAACAGTACCAGTACCAGAGAAGTACTTAACAGGTGCTATTAC